AGCCACGAAATTAAAAGACGCCTGCTTCTTGGAAGGAAAGTAATGATAAACCTTGACAGCACCTTAAAAAGCCACCCTTTTTCCGCCACCTTAATTCAAAGTTTTGCTTGCCTGTTCATTTTCACAGTTTTGAGTCAAGTCTCTCTCTCACACACACACGCACACACATCCATCCACCCACCCACCCATCCTCCCTCCATTTTCTCCCTCCATTTTGTACATTTAAATAAGCTTGATGAAGTCCTCGGTCTCGCACCTTTCTTCCCTCCTTTCCCTTGCTTGCTTCTTGATCCTCTCTATCCTCCTGCTTGTTTGCAGTCATTTCTGAAGGAAGCCGTCGTTCAGAAGCCCCAGATTGATTGATTGCCTGGGGCTAATCCCCAGCTGTAACCAATTAGGGAGGCTTATCTCCCGATCTACTGAAAGAACAGAGCACTTAGAAGTGCCCTGCTGCAATGAAGGAAGTAGGCTTACAATTTGAGCTTTGGCTGCAGAGGGTGGGGTGAGAGGGAGGGAGGGAAGGAGGGAGGGGGGTAGCAGTCTGCTCATTACCCCCAGAATTTTCACTTTTACCCAATTTGGGGTAATTCACCCCTGTTTCCCGACCTATGTTCTAAGGTATTCTGTTCATTAATAGAGATGGGCACAAAATGAACCATGAACCAAGAAACCCACAAAATAGGCCAGTTCATGGTTTGTTTTGTGGGAGGAACAGGAACTTTTTCATCATTGGTGTTTCATTTCACTTAGTTGCACGCATACCCCAAAAGTCTCCCTTCATGTGCCCCAGCAGCTACCTTACTTGCTCAACGCCTCCTCCTCCCTGCTGCTGCTAATCTGGGGCCTTCTTCCAGTTTTGTTGCCTGTTGAGCTATATATAGGGAATTATATAGGGAGGGGGAATGGTGGCAGTTAAGGGCGGGGAGACTTGGAGCAAATAAAGTGGGTGTTGGGGCCCATACAAGGGGGCATGGCGTAGGAAACCAATGAGGAAGAGCATTCTATGTAGCTGAGCTACAGAGGAAGTCCCCCCTCTTCATTTAGAGATGGGCCCAAACCAAATTGTACCACGAGCCAACTCAGGTTTTTTTTTTTAAATAGCATCTTCATAGACACTGATGAACCAAGAACCAGTTTGGGCCCATCTCCATTTATTATAATCAGAGCTGCGTTATAATGCAAATTTTCTTACATCCAGAGATACACTTAGCATACTTTTCTGCTTGCATTCTCCAAGAATGAAAGTTTGTAACATGTCTACTGGAACAACTTGTTAAAAGTAAATGAAAGTGAGCTATTTGTCTGCTTAATCAGTAATACTGTAATGAGCAGGTTTTCTAGAAACCCTCAGGTATATTTGCCATAGTAGCATTTGATTCTGTGCCAAGCTTCATGGATTGTTAAAAACGACATGGTGCTCTAGGAAATGCAACTTCCCACCCATTGTCATCCTTTGAAAGCCTATATAGAAACTAGAGATTCAGTCAGACATATACCGTATTTTTCGCTCCATAAGACGCACCTTTCCATAAGACGCACCAATTTTTTAGAAGAAGAAAACAGGAAAATATAATCTGTTTTCTTCACTCCATAAGACGCACAGACTTTCCACACACACACACACCCCCGTTTTGTGGTTAAAAAGTGCGTCTTATGGTGCGAAAAATACGGTAATAATGAGGACGTCATGCCCTTATGAAATGAAGTGCACAAAAATATTTAATCAGTGGATCATATCATTAAAACATTCCATTTCTCATAGCAAGAGAAGAAATGGGAATAACTTTAATAACTTGGTAGAAAAAGATTGCCTAGGTTTTCCCTTTTAATCATCTGGCATCTCACTTTTTGTGTTACATTTTCACTGTTGGTTATTTGGGACCTAACTTTTTTCAGTGTTTTAAAACAGCTGCTGCTTTTGGTATGAACCACCCACTCTATTACAGTAACCGTACATGCTACACAGATTTGCACTGAACATGTGAAACCGTGCAACAGGATTTCAGCCTATAGTACATTCTTTTAGACAGTATCTCTACAAATAATGCAATTGTGTTTGTCCTTAGGTTCCCGGAAGCAAGTCGTCCAGTGACCTGGTTGATCTTTTGTTTGATGGTGCTGATCAATCAGTCCCAACAGGTAATCTACCCTTTTATTTTCTCTTTGAGCAATTGCTGGAGGTGTAGTCTTTACTGAAATACCAAATAATGTATGTTGTAAAGCCATGGAGAAGGATATGATTCTCTTAAACATAAAGCTGTGCGTAAATTCATGGAACTGCGTTCAAATTACCATATTATATAGACTAATAATGCTTTAGAAGTGTACATGCTCGGTCAGTCTGTCAGGAACTATGATGACTCTAGAATGCAGTGTTATTCATAATTAATTTTAAAAGCATGTAATCCAGTCAGTTTCTAAAGCTCTCTTGTGTTACACATTGTGTGAGAGAGACAGTGGTAAAAATGGATGACTCGCATTCATAAGTCACATCAAATGTATACAGCAAAAGTGAGCTCACTAGTTTTTATTGCCATTGTCTGTCCAATGACAGTTGGGTGACCCAACCTGACGGTAGAAATATTATCTCTCTTGTTCCCTTTAAAATTGATATTCTCTCCCTGCCCATATGCCAAGCAAAGAAAAGGTTCTCACTGAATATTATTATTTTTGTTTTGCTCTGCAAAGCAGACCAGTGTGATATTTTTCTCCAAACCAAATCCAACTTTGTTAACTACCTTCTCCATTTCCTGTGCCTGCTCCAGACTGTTTAACTTCAAGGCAGGATCATCTTTGTTGGTTTGGGCATGTGAAGGCCAATAACCTTAAATGAGAAAGCTGAGAGTTCCAAAGGAAGAACTCCCCCCCCCAACTCATAGTGTGTTTTCATCACTATTCTAAAGATATGGAGCTGTAGAAACCTGGCACAGTTCTATGCATGTATAATAAAAGAGACCTTCAGGGTAGAGGGTTCATTTCCATTCTTGTGAGCCCGAGTCAAGGAGATGCATCTTCAACAGTCCTGTCTTGGTCCAACATTGTTATTGCCACTTCCTGAAATTCAGCTAAGAGTGACCTCTAGATCATACTTGCCTTACTATTCGGGACATTATCAGTTTCATAATGGTCTTAGTGGTTTGTATCCAGATAGTACTATGTCTCTAATCCAACTAGACAGTTTTTGATATTGCTTGCAGAAAGAGTTCCCTGAACTATCGCCATCACCCGGGAAAGGCCAATTAATAAAGATAGGGCTTTTGGAAAATCAGGCTTTTTAGCCCCATAATTTGCCCAGAACCTCACAGGCAGAATTATGGGAATGAAAGCCCCCCAAACCAGAGTTACAGAAGTTCTCTGTACCTCTGTGCTGTTCCTATTCTACTGTTGCTGTTTGGAAAGGAAGCACCTTGTTGCATTATGGGAGTCCCGAGGATCTCTGTGTCTCACAAATTTCCACAGAAAGGTGACCATTGGGCTGTACAGACATAGCCTCCAGGGGCACTCTCTCTCCTGTGGACCTTTGCAGAGTTTTTTTTTCACAGCTGTAGCTGTGAGCTTTTATGAAGAAAGGTTTGGCAGAATTAGGTTATTGGGTAATATTTACGATTTTTTTTTTTAAGTATATAGATGCACATCCAGGATTGTGTTTGGTAGTTAAATTTATTTGCATCTAAAGTGTCTAATTTTACTTTTGACATTTCTGGTCATACTCTGTTGTAAGGCAATAGACTCACAAACACATGCAGCTACTTAAAAACGTTGCTGAGGCATTTTTTGCTGTTCCCAGTCTACTGGGTGATAAAAGACAGCATTGTATGCCTTTTCTTAATATGATTTGGTATTCTGGATTCCTGCGTATATGATTATTTTAAATGGCAACAAATGTGGATAAAAGGTCCCAGTATTAAGAAAAAATATGTATACAGTGTTGCCTTGCAAGACGAGCGCCCCGTTTAATGCCGAAATCGCATTACGATGAACTTTTTGCGATCGCAAAAGCGATCACTTTACGATGGTTTCAATGGGGGAATTTCGCTTTGCGGTGATCGGTTCCCTGCTTCAGGAACTGATTTTCGCAAAACGACAATTTTCGGCCAGCTGATCGGCAGTTTCAAGATGGCCGCCGGGTTAAAAAAATGGCTCCCCGCTCTTTTCTGGGATGGATTCCTCACTGCACGGGCAGCGAAAATGGCCATTCTTTGGAGGATCTTCGCTGTACGGTAAGTTTCAAGCCCATAGGAACGCATTAATCAGGTTTTAATGCGTTTCTAACGGCTTTTATTTCTCATTATGATGTTTTCGTTCTACAGCGATTTCGCTGGAACGAATTAACATCGTAATGCGAGGCACCACTGTAGTTACCAAAGGAGTTTGTAATGACCCGGAGGCAAGGCAGGCTGGATCTTTGCTGCTACATTTGCAATCTTCCCTTATCTCCTCTGGCCACCACTCACCTCTGCCCCCTGGTACAATTATTTCAGTTTGTCTGTGTTGATTTTTGTATAGGAGTTCTAACATTTATAAACAGTGCAGTTCTATGCGTACTTAAATGTTCCTTTTTAATATAAGCTTGCATGTGTTGTATGTAGTGATGGTATTGAGACCTCTGTTCTTAATTTCATAATTCTCTTTAAATCCTGTGGTGTGGTTTATTAAAAATAATTCTCCTTAAAGACTGTTTGTAACACTATGGTGGCAAATATTTTATATTTTAACTCCTGCAGAGAAATAGTGCCAGAAGTCTGTTTATTGTGGAATACAATTTATGTTTATGTTTTCCAAAACTGTTTCTGTGCAAGAAGAAGAGTAGTAGAGTATAGAGAATAGAAGGAGTCCTGTCGCTTTGACCCTCCTGAACAGATCAAGGGGCCTGTGGGAGATGATTCATTGTGGCTTCTACCCCACCAAACAAAAGCTGCTTGCAATACCTTAAATCCCAGCCACAAACCTCATTCCATAGTGCGATGGATATTTGCACTATGGAATACACGTACACATACCCTGCCATGATTAGGTTGGGTAAGAATTCAACCATCCTTATATGTCTGTATTACAACAAACCCCAATTTTGTAGACAGTTACTTTGAAACCAACACATGTAGCTCTTTCATCCAAGCTGTGTTCCTGCTAATGAGAAACCTTTTCTGGGTTTACAGTTTGACTAATGTCCATTATTCTCCTGTTCTTGCTGTGGTAGAAACTGAGTTTGCTCCCTATTTCCACATCAGTATTTAGGATGTGTTCTAGAGATGAGACATGGTACCAGCTGGCCACCACAAATAATGTCTCTGATGCCCTAAGGAGGCAGATGGAAGGAATTAATTTATAACGACAGGTCTCACTTGGGAGTCTTCAAGGCTAGCTGATGACGTTGTGAAGATTAGCACTGTCCTTCATAAGCAGGTCACTTTTCTTGACCAGCATGCTACTTGCAGTACAAGATATGAACCCATAGCAAAAAAGCATAAAGTTGAAAGACCACTTTCGATTTCTTTTGTAAAGAAAATAGAAGGCAGAGTGTATGCTTTCAAAAATCTGTATGAAGCATTTCATAATAAAGCAAGTAACATGGTTAGGCAAACAATATGATTATTATGAAAGCTAGGAAGAGAAGTTGCATTATTTGTTTCAGATTTGCCCCTTAGAATTTTATCTAAATGGTAGGTAAAGCACAGATGGGAAACCTTTGGCCTTCCAGATGTTTTGGGTTATAACTCCTATAATCTATTACCACTGCCCATGCCTGATGAGGCTTCTGGGAATTGAAGTTCAAACATCTGGAGGGTCTTGGGTTTTCAATGCGAAAGCTTTATTCAAGCTGAACATATTGCTATGATTGTTATGAACTCTTTCAACTTCTCAGATAATTGTGAGGAACAGATTAGACACAATTCAAAGGATGGATTATAAAGTTGAGCCCTTCCTTTCAAACACGTGGAACAAAATGATTAGTTAAGAAAATGAATTGGTGTGAGAAAGCTGTAGTTCCAAGAATTAAGGTTATAATCTACAAACCACTATTTGCTCTGTTTTCAAAGTTGGTTTTACCTTCCCTAAATCTGATGAATTGGCCCCTGGAGATATACATACATACGCCTATGATAGCCCCTAGAGCAGTGGTCTCCAACCTTGGTCCTGAACAAAATGATTAGTTAAGAAAATGAATTGGTGTGAGAAAGCTGTAGTTCCAAGAATTAAGGTTATAATCTACAAACCACTATTTGCTCTGTTTTCAAAGTTGGTTTTACCTTCCCTAAATCTGATGAATTGGCCCCTGGAGATATACATACATACGCCTATGATAGCCCCTAGAGCAGTGGTCTCCAACCTTGGTCCTCCAAATGTTTTTGTTTTGGGTGAAGGCTTCTGGGAGTTGAAGTCCAAGAACATCTGGAGGCCCAGGGTCGGGGACCACTGCTCTAGAGAACCTAAGTTTGGCAAATTTCATAAGCTTGTTGTGCTACTCTACCAGTTGATTGAGATTATTTATTTTGATTGCCTGGCTTGCCTGCTACAGGGACCACTGCTCTAGAGAACCTGAGTTTGGCAAATTTCATAAGCTTGTTGTGTTACTCTACCAGTTGATTGAGATTGTTTATTTTGATTGCCTGGCTTGCCTGCTACTCATTTATTCTGTGTCATTGTGTATGCACATGTTCGCACAGTGCATGCACTGTGGGTTCAGTGCAGTTGGGTTTCCTTGCCTTTGATCTCATGTAGGCTTTTGTGTCCAGAGCAGAGAAGCAATTATTGCTGATTCCCCCTTCCTTCTCAAATCCCTTATATGTGTCTAAGACCTGCTCCAGAAAGTTAGAAGAAACTTGTGGTGCAGTGTTATGGAGAGCACATGGGGCTGCAGAAGATGGGGGAATCTGGGAAAATCACCTTGCTATCTGTCTGGTGATGGAAGACTCCACTGGATTGAAGAGCCATTCTATCAGTAGAAGGGCTCAGTTGCATCCAAACCTAGGTAAAGAACAGCTCAGTTTATTTTGTCTTTGGTGAGCTAAATGTATTGTCCACCCTCAAGCCATTGAATAAATGAAGTCACACTGAAGCTCTTCATAAATCTCCAGCTCAGCTTCATGGGTCTGAATTGGTAAATGAACAGCCTGTGTGTCTTTGCTATGAGACTATGAAATACAATACTTATCTTTCGGTAAAAATTGAGAGGTTTCTGGTCATAGCCTTGTTAACAGTTCCTACTCGATAACAGATCCTTACATGTTCTGAAGAAAGATGTTCCCACCAGAAAGCTGGGCATGCATCCCTAACATTGGCAAAAAATAAAATAGCATTAAGAAGAAATACAAGTACATGTCTAGTAGGACGGGGAATTGTTCATTTTGTTACTGCTGGCCATTTATTAAAAAGGAGATGGTTCTAGTTTAATTAACAGAGTTGAGAGCAGCAGATGGAGCAGAATGTCTTGCAGCTATAAGACAATTCAGAAATGGCACCAGATGTTGGAAGCTGTCCCTGGTGGTGTTTGAGTGCAACACAGATGTTACAGTCCCACCTGGCTAGTTTCTAAGCACTGCAGGCTAAGCAGCTGTGATGTAACCCATATAATGTACGCAAACACTAAAAGCAGAATAATTGAGCAGCAGTGGCAGCGGCTGCTACTCTATCGAAGGGTGTGCCTGCTCGGAGGTGAAATCTTTTAAGGACAAAGTGTAACAGCTAAGGCCAACTCTCTTTTAGTAGTTTTGGGGTAGAAAATGACTGCTGAATGCATTACTCAAGTTGAACCCTTTTATTACAGAGAGGCTGGCTGTGAAGAAGCAATCACAGGCTGAAGGTAATCTTCAAAAGCCAACTAACAAACACCACTTATAAAGAAAGGAATAAAGAAATGGGGACTTTCTTGGTGGATTAAATAAAAGCTTTGGAAGGAAGGTGCTATTCGTCAAAAGTGTGACACTTCCCACTCCCTGTCCCTCAAAAGAGATGAGAATGGATTGAGACCTCATCTTTGCATATTGTAGTCCCATTCCTGCCCAGGACACACAATGCATCCCCAGTTGTGGCCATTGCATCTAGTTTGCCCCTCAAGCTTAACACATCCATCTACAAAGGGATTTCACTGTTTAGAATAAAACGTTACTCATAGAGTGCCACTTCCTAGCTTGCAACATCGGAAGTATAGATCATGTGAAGCTTTTCTATTTTGATGTATAAAATATGCTGTAGGGAAGAATGGCTAAAATGCTGCATTTTGCAGTAAATAATTCATTGGTAGCTTACAACTGGGATGTTAAGGTTCTTCTGGAAAGAAAGCATACATACTTTAAAAGTGAATACCAGGGTAGGCTTTATGCCTTGGAATCTGGAATCTGAAATCCTAGACAGCTCATTCACATCAGGTTTAATATGCGTGAAGACTTTCTGTACTTTTCATAGAAGGCAAGAGAATTAGCAAACAAAAAGGATTTGTATGTTTTCTCTAGTCCTTGGGGGGTAATTATTTTAATGTTTACCATTGTAATATTTCTACCATTATTACTGTAGTTGTTTGTAGAGCTGTATGACTGAAACAGTGATGTAAGATGTAGGCCATTGGTTGTGTACTGTGAAAGTGGTAAATTGTATCCAAACTATATGGAGGAATACAGGCGTACCTCAGTTTACGTAGTCTCAGTTTACATAATTTTCAGTTTATGAACAGAAATCCGTAAGAAATAATGCCTCGGTTTATGTTTTTACGGGGGGGGGTGTCGTTGTACGAAAAGGACACATCACCCCTGGAGGTTTCTAGCGCCACCCCCTTTGCTATGGCAATCCGCATTCCGACTTACATAATTTCCGCATTACGTAATGTCCCGGATGACGGATTAATTTTGTAGACCTAGGTATTACTGTAGTTCTATTTGCCTGATTTCAATTATCTCCATGAATTGGAGGGACAAAATACTTGGGTTGTTATGGGCCCCAATTTAGGTTTGATTGGTATTGCTTAGAGGGGTTTCCGTTTGCTGCTTGGGCTTCTGTCCTGTGCCAGTGTTGATTTTCTCTTTCCTGGTTCCCACTGCGGGCTGTCAGCCTTCTAGACTAATTCCTGCTTACTTCTCTTTATGATTTAAACTGCTGTCTTACATGTATGTTGTATTGTGCATACCAGAATGGTATCATTAGGCAAAAACACAGGGACAAAAACTCTCTGTAACTGGCCAGTGGAGACCATAAAGGGCATGATTGCATAGATAGATAGATAGACAGACAGACAGACAGACAGACAGACAGACAGACAGACAGACAGACAGACATAATGCAGTCCAGGGTCTCAGGACATTTATAGATACCAGATTGTATAGTACTGTATAAGAAAATTATGCAGTAAAATGTTGCAGATCATGAGAGGTGCCCAGATATTTGCATTGCACCAAGCACAACTCAGATGCATGTTACACATGCTTCAGATTCACACAGAGGCACAGTAAGATCTGAGGGGATCTCGCAACAACACTTGGTAGCACTGCAGGGACAGGTTTGCAGGAAAATGAGCTGCATTCAGATGAACCTGGATGCCAGACTTGGAGTTCCCTACAAGATGTCATGGCAGGACATAAGTTATCATTCTAATGTAGATCTTTTTCCAAACATGAAGATACCAGGGGAAAGGAAAATAACCTGATTTCCCTTCTTGGATCTTGTTGAACACCTCAAGAGGGCTTGTTCTTATATAACTCAGATACATTTTTAAAATGTATGTGTTACTGAATGAAGTGAAGTCAGGTATTGATGAAGTTATTGTGGTACTGCAGTAATTCGCAACAATGTTTTTTTCCCCCAATTGCTTTGGTTTCAGGTGGCTCCACTGACCCCTTTGGGGGATTTGCTGACTTCAACTCTGCCGCCGCCGCCTCTGCAACCTGTGCTTCATCGCAAGGTATAGTGCCTTACAGGGAAAACAGAATAACAACTTTGCTCTTTTCAGTTTTAAAAGACCTCCCCAATTTTTCCTCCTTCTGCAAACCACAGATCTGCTCTAACCAACCACCCAGAACAGGTTTCAGGGGGTTGTAGTTTGGAAGGAAAATTAGGCTTTTAATGGATGGACATTGATTTTGTCCTTTCAACAAAACTTCTCATTGATTCTCAGCTTTCTCTTTCTGATGGAAGTGTTTTCTTGTGATGTTTAGACCAGACTTAATTCAGCCTAAAGTAAGGCAGTTGTCTTTATAGCCTTGTGGGGGACTCATTGACACCTGACTTACACGTGCCAAAAGAATTGACTACATGCATTGTTGCCATATAAAATATACAGAAATATCATTGTACAACAACAATTTCTTGAAGTTCAAATATTTGTTTATTATTTCAGTTTTTATACCACCCCATAGTGCAAACACCCTTCGGATGGTTCACAATACAACAAATCACATTAAAATCAGCAGTACAATATACAATAAGATAAAGGTTAAGGTTCCCCTTGACAATTTTTGTCTAGTCGTGTTCGACTCTAGGGGGCAGTGCTCATCCCCGTTTCCAAGCCATAGAGCCAGCGTTTTGTCTGAAGACAATCTTCCGTGGTCACGTGACCACTGCAACTTCGACATGGAACGCTGTTACCTTCCCACCAAGGTGGTCCCTATTGATCTACTTGCATTTGCATGCTTTCGAACCGCTAGGTTGGCGGGAGCTGGGACAAGCGACGGGCGCTCATTCTGTCACGTGGATTCAATCTTACGACTGCTGGTCTTCTGACAATACTGTTAAATAAGTAAAACACTGTCACTAGCTAAAAACCTACAGAATTAAACAATTTAAAACAAGTTTGGACATTTCAGATCCTTGTTTAAAAACACCATTGAAAGGCAGATATAAATTACCTATCTCCTGAAAATCGATAGGTATGTTGTCTGGCAAACTTCTATAGGAAGCCTGTTCCAGAAGGAAGGGGCTCTGACTGGGAAAGCAGGATTCTTGGTGTCACCATTTTTAACATCATGGACTGTGGAGCAGGTGGGACAGGTAGCTTTTTCTGGGGGAGACATTCCAACAAGTATTGAGGCCCTAAACCATTAAGGGCTTTATTGGTCATGACAAGCACCTTGTATTGGGCATAGAAACTAACAGGGAGCCAAGGAAGGTATGCCAGTACTGGGGAGAAGTGTTCATACCTGCTGGTACCTGTGATCAGTCTGGTAGCCACATTTTGGCTCTGCTAAAATTTCTGTACAGACTTCACGGACTGCCCTATGTAGAGAGATTGCGAACATATGAACCACTGCAGTCAGGCATTTCTTATCCAGGTAGGAGTGCAGGTGGGCAGTCAGCCAAAGTTCATGAAAGGCTCTCTTGGCCACAACAGATATTTGCACCTCCATAGAGAAAGCTGGCTCCAAGAGTATGCCCAAGCTGTGAACCTGTTAATTCAGGAGGAGTGCAGTGCCATAGAGGCCTGGTAAATATACCTTTAACTTGTCCGAACATCCTCCCAACAGGAGACTATCTGTCTTATATGGATTCAGTTTCAGTTTATGGGCTCTCGTCCAGTCCATTATCGATGCTAGGAAATGCTCAAGGACCTGAACAGCATCACCAGAAGATTAAGTAATTCTATGCTATGCTTTTCTTTATGTGAGATAATATTTATCTCCACTATATTATTTCACCTCCTATTAGTTAGCTCCCATTCTATTGGGCAGGAGTGCAAATATATCTGGTGACACGGGGTTAAATCTAATATTTGTTCTATCTAGAGGAGGATCATTTAAATCAGTGAGATGTGGTTTTCCCCTCAGCACATGTAAAATGGCATGCCAGACCTAGAAATGGCCAAAAATAGAAAACAAACAAAAATTGGAAGTGCCCAGGAAGCCATTTCTGTGTTGTTTTTCCCTTTGGGACTAGGGACTTAGCCCCCACCCCCATTCACCACAGCAGAACTAGCACACTTAGAAGTATAGTGCTTTACTGGAAGAATGGAGTGGAGTGGAGAAAGCGATTTACTTTTTTAAATAACCTTTTCCCCCATGGAAAGCAGAGACAGACTCTGTAGTGGCTGCAGGAGGGGCTGGAGAGGCACAGTAATGCCCTTGTGGTCTCCGGGCTGCACCTCTGCCTTAAAGAGATGTATGCAGCTTCTGTGTTTGACTGTGTCACTGGTTCAGTACCTGCTGGTTACCAATCCAAGCTTAGGAGCAGGTCCTGCCATATAATGGCCCTTTTCTCCAGAACTTTGTCCAGCGGCAATCAAAACATGATAGATTTCAAGAAGCTTTAAAATGCAGTACAGTTTAATTGGCATCACAAACTTTGCAGGTGGTCATATTTCTGGACACAAATTATTTTATTTCTCTTTTTTTAATCACTAGTTTGATTTTTTAAATAAAATTATTTTTGTATCAGTTTAAATCACAGGCTGAAGTCCAGGAGTGTAACATGCACTACAACAGGCTGATATCAACTATGGAGGCTTGTCAGAAATTAAAATCTCCCCCAAAGTTCCCAAGGCTTCCTTGATCCTGTTCGTCACGGGGAAGCCCTTCGGGACCACAGGAAGGAGAGGTTTTAATTGCCAGAAATCACTGCTGCCAGTAACATCATCCCACCAATGGTGATTTTCAAAAACAAAAGACTCCCCTGTACATCCTGCATGTAATGGATTCAAAGGGTGCCTCAGGTGGAAATTTTTAATTTCCAAGAAACTGCCGCAGCTGATGACATCTTCAGCCTTATTCAACTTAAATTATGGTGCTGGATTTTAGCCCCTTAATAGGTCCAAAGTTAAGCTGAGTAGAAATTGTAAGTAAATTTTGATCCAAATGAATAGAGGATGGAACAAAACTGTTGGGAATCTACCTGGAAGACAAGAGATGGTAGGCATGAACCTAGATTAATTCTGATGTGGAACCCTTTTCCTACATAATCTTAAAAATGGAGTAGTGCCAGAGATCTCACTTTGATGCCAGTATGAAAGTGGCTATAAAAGAGCTGTTATAGACCAAGAAGCTTGTCATAATAAAGCAAGAGTAAATAAAAGATCTGTGTATGTGCAGTAACTTAGGAAAGCAGTTCTGTTTCTCATTTTGCCTCTGATAGGACTTCATATGGTATTTGAATATGATTCGTCTCTCCCAGTGCAATGTGTAGCGAGAAAAGGCTGAAATTAACCCAGAAAATAGATGCTTTGCTTTAGGCAATACTTTGTTGTGTCCAGGGACAGAGAAGAACAGGGAATTGCTAATTTGGTTTAATATTGGTTTACTTAAGTTACAATTGCCCAGTAGGGAGGAAAGGCATTATACTTTACATTGAGAGCCCTAGCAGGGGTGAAAGTGCTAGCACAAATATTGTGATTGGCCCTCCGTTATTATCTTTGTTGTATTTTTGGTGTAGTGGTACAATAATTGCTGTGTGACATAAATTGAACCCCTCCTCCCCCAGCCTGGAGAGGTTCTTCCACAGCGAGGTGTGCTCGCTGCAGAGGTCAGACGTTGACCTAATTTGAGAATTATGTCCTTAAATACTTTTTTAGTTCTACTCTTCCGCATTGATTTTACAGGTGCCCAAATCCCATTATGCAAATAATGCCATCTCATTTGGTTATATCTGTTTATCAGTATTAATATGATTAATCTGTACCGATCACCATTATGCAAGCAGCCAGCAATGATTAATCATTCCTGTAATAATAAAGTCCCCCCCAAATCTTTGTTGATTAATCATCTTTGGTAAAGTTTTCCAAAGATGGAGGGGTCACAAATGTGTCTCCGTTCTCCCCACTTCCTTTCTGTGTGTATGGATATAAGTGTCCAGTAACTGGAGAATCTGTATATTCAGCATTTACTTATCCATCAGGAATACTTTAAGTGTGCTTAAATTTTTAATAGGCAGTACTAATTGAAATACTCCCAATTAAGTCCCTTTTGTAAGGGAGATCAAAGCAGATGTTTCAGTCAGGCCCCAAGCTAATGAATTTCAGTGCACTACTTGCATTAAAGGGGGGGGGTGTAGTGCATAGATGTAAGTGGCCCATCTTTCCCCTCCCTGCCCTTCCTTCCTTAAATTTTTAATCCGCCTATGAAGGTAAAATTAATTAAAGGAAGGGTTTTTATACCTAGGTGCACAGGTAGCATTAAGGATTATTTATGTGAGTGTAAATTATTGCAGCATCTTTTAAGATCAGGTGAGTTAAATTCTAGGTAATAGGCAAGTTTGTAGACCACTAATTCCTAGCTAGCTGTGCAAGCCAGATTATTCTGAAACCATACATTTTCATTCATTTAGCTGACGAAAGTCATGGAGTGCTCACGTAATTACAGATTTCAAGTCATGAAACCCCTTTTGTTTCTGTCTACACTACCGTGGCAGAATGGCTTTGTGTTAATTTCAAGTGGTTCATCTCCAGAACAAGTAATTTTGGAGTGTATTCACATATGCCTAGCCATCAGACCAAAACCATAAATTCTTCTTCACTGTTTATCAGATAGGTTTGTTATACAGTATATGTCTCCAGTGTAGTGGGTAACATGGGATGATTCCATGAACGCTGCCTGGCTGTAAAGGGAGAATAGACATTTTCATCATACTGTGTGTCATGAAAATGTGCTCCCATGTTTTTTCAAGTAGAATGTATTTAAAAAAAAAATATGGAGGGAAAGCCATCTTCCATTCAAAGAAGAAACAGAATTAATTTCCTGAAAGTTCCTTGTATGTGTGATGTGCAAAGACTGGGAATCTTGTGTAAGACTTCAATGCTTATGTATCAAATCACCCGTAGAGCACTCAGTAAATACTACACAAGGCTGTTAACAAGCACAATAGAGGTGATATAAATACCTGAAGGCAGCTGAGGTAAAAAGCCCATGATTGTATTGGTATCCCACTTAGTTATACTAGTTTAAGAATAATTTATATGTAATTAGAGGTGTTTGAACAAATTGCCAGTTCTTCTTCGTGGCCTCTGTGAATACACACATATGGGTTTAGTCTGCGCCTGCGCTGACATTCTCGGAGCATTCTAGAGCTAAAAGTAACAATTTTATGGTGTGATCCCCCATGAGGCACAAGCTCCTCCCACCCAAGATTCCCCTCAGTTCCTGCAATTTGTCCGCCGGGCATGAGAGTTATACAACAATAAGATACCCGTGACGACAGAGGGGAGGATGGGTGGGTAGTGTGAATTCACAGAGGTCCACTCGAAGAACCATGGTTACAGGTAAGTAACCTTTCTTTTTACGATTATAGAGCCAGCCTTATTCACAGTGATTGATTCAAAGCATTGACCAGTTTATGCTCCCATCTTTGCCTGTGGCTCCAGAATTTGGAGTACTGCGTATCTGTTCAGGTACTGAACTTTGGTGTCTTCAGTATCTGCTGCATACTTGTTTTACTGGAAGTTTATTTGGATCCTTCAGGTTTGCCTGTTAGGAAATCTGTTTCCCACTCACGCAGAGTCCACAGGTGACACATTAGCTGGCCATCCTGTCTGGTGGTGGCATGGGTGTTTCAAATTTTCTTTGCTACCCTGTTAAAATGGCTGGAATATTCATGAGGGAAGTAATGTCCAGATGGAGATTCTACCTGCAGATGTTAATCTGGATGGACACACTTCCACTCTCGTTTGTTTCAGTTCATGGAGTGTGGCATTTGTTCTGTGCCTCCTTCAGAGTCTCTTACCTTTCTTTCTCCTCCCTAGGTACAGCTACAAGTGGGAATGGAGAATTTGGCGACTGGAGTGCCTTCAACCAAGCCCCTCCATGCCCTGCTGCTTCAGCTGGAGAGCTCTTTGGTGGCTCTGCTCCGCCAGCTGTTGAGCTCTTTGTTGGATCTGCTCAGCAGTCTCTTGGCCAGCCTCCAGCGGCTTCAAATTCTGCTGACCTCTTTGATTTGATGGGTACCTCCCAAGCCACCATGACCTCTTCCCAAAGCATGAATTTCTCTATGATGGGTTCCAACACTGTCAGCCTCAATCTGCCTATGTCAAGGTCTCAGGTACGATGCTTCTACACAGTCCTTAAAGTCCTGTATGTAAGAAATAGTTTCTGTGAGTAGTTTTGATGAACCCTGAGCTTAAAGCATCTTTTCTACAGATATCAAGGACTCTCTTGTCTTTTTTTGTTTTTACTCTGATGGTCATTGTTTGTGGTTTGATTACTTCAGTTGCTTCCTCGTTAATTTAATCACAGGATTCTAGAATGTACAGTGAGCTTCAAACCGTCTCCCATTGACTTGGCAGTATAGGGGTGGGGTGTCATTAGTCTTGGACCGTCTCATTCACATTAGTCTTATCCTACTAACAAGGTGTTTGACTGTCAAAAGTCTGCTCCTGTTGTCTCGATAAGCTTCACAACTAATTTTTCAGACACCATAATAGACTTGCTGGGGGAGGGATAAATATTTGAGGGGAGCAAGGAGGGAACAGGACACTTGACATAGCTCCAGCAAGCTGCCAGCTGATAGAAAAAGTACTTGAAGATATGATTTTTGAAAGATTTATTTGCAGAAATGTCTATTCTGTAGCTTCTTCTGTTCATCAGGCAAATATAAATGTCCACCTCTTTTTTCCTTTTTCCTTTTTTGGAAAGGGGGAGACTGGATGAGTTACCCCCTCTAGACCTTAAACAATAATTGTCAATGAATATTGTAATTCTAAAGATCTCTCTCTCTCTCTCTTTTAAATGTTTCTAGCCTTTGCAAAATGTTAACCCAATGATACAGAAGCCTAATCCACTGTATAACCTGGGCACAGAGATGGTCCCCAAAAATGTCGGCAAAACTCTGCCTTCCACTTGGTCAGACCCCAGTGTTAATATCAGTTTGGACAATTTAGTTCCTGGTATGCAACCTTCCAAACCCCAGCAACCGTCACTGAACACGATGATTCAGCAACAGAGTAAGTGATCCTCTGCACTCTCGCTCTTGCCACACTGCTTTTAACGAGGTTGATTTGCTGGTGTGCTTCTTAATATGTTCATGATCACGCTGTGTTTTAAAAACCACAGAGCTGCCGATTACTTCAGCCCCTGTAGTTCCCTCTTTTCTGTAACCAGCATATATTGTGCGCATAAATGAAATGGTGGGAGGAACAATTGCTGAATAGTAGTAGGCCATGATATTTCCTTACTCAGGTTAACAAGTTAAACTCCAGAAGGCTGGGAAGGCTCTAGTTGGGGTCTCCATAGACCCTGACCACTAACCATTGGTTGTTGCTTCCAGGCACTTGAATTGACAGCCCCTTCTTTTTTTAGCCATAGTAGGTGTAAAAAATAATAGGTGTATGTTGAGCTGCATTGGACTTCAGAGAATCCAGAGGTCTAGTACAGTCTTTGGTGGGGCAGGAACTTCTCCCAGCTCTTCAAGCCATTCTGCCAGCTCTTGTCTCTTGCTGCACAAACAAAAACATGGTAGCACCTTTCAGACTAACAGAATTTTAGTTTTTTGTGAGCTCTCATGGATTACATTCTTCTTCTTTAAACATAATTCTTGAAGTACTCCTCGCCAAGCAATGAAGAAAAAAGTACTAATTGGGAAGAATTTTCCTTGCCCCTTTCTCATTACTAAGCCTTTTAATCAGGAACAAGGGGAATTCAAAATGGAAAGTGTCCCTTAAAAAATCTGTGTAGGGAGTACACTGTCTTTGTGGGTCCCTGAACATAGTGACTAGTGATTGTTCAGAGGATGGTGGAGTAACCTTTGGTCCTCCAGATGTTTAGAACTACAGTTCCTATAGTCCTTTACCATTAGTCATGTTAGTTGCCATCGTTTAAAACAGTGGTTCCCAATCTTAGGTAACCCAGATGTTCTTGGACTATAACTCCCAGAAATCCTGTCCAGCGTAGCTGGTATTGAAGGCTTCTGGGAGTTTTAATCCAAGAACATCTGGGGACCCAAGGTTGGGAACACTGCTTTAAAATATCTGAGCTTAAATGATTTGTCACCCTTTGTAGAATGGAAGCATGGTGAAGATATGGGGGGAACATCTGGGAATCAGAGGACGGGAACTGTGAGATCTAGGAGTTGTGTCATCCATTTCTGTCAGGCAGATAGAAAGGTATAAATACCCCTTAAAGACTGGGCATCAATTTGGACTTCTTTTCTGCTTTATTCTTACTATAATCCAGGTGGAGAAGAGAAAGAAATAAACCTCTGGTCTTTCTCCCTTGCAGATATGCAACAACCTATGAATGTGATGTCTCAGAATTTTGCAACATTGAGTCTCAATTCACCACCCAGCATAATGCCTGTTCGACCTCCAGTAAACCCGTTGATGGGAGGGACTGTTCCTGTGGGAATGGGAATGCCCACAGTGATGACTGGTGCAATGGGGATGAACCAGGGCATGATGGGAATGAATGTGAACATGGCAGTGCCAGCCTCTGGAATGGGTTTGTCAGGTACAATGGGCATGGGAGTCCCTAATATAGCTGTGGCATCTTCCATGACTCCGGGAACTGTGCAACCGAAGCAAGATGCCTTTGCCAATTTTGCCAATTTTAGCAAATAAAGATTGTAAACCAATCAGATTGAATGAAGGATTTTAGCTGCACAAATAAAGCTGGGATAAAGGTGGAAAATGCTGATCAAATGCTTCTTCCCCTTGTCTTCTTCTCCCCCCCCTTCTTTTATCGCTTTCATTTAAAGAACCCACATTTTAAAAAACCACCCAAAGGTCATTTTATAAACTCTGAAACTGCTTTTGTTCAAGCTTTGGTGAGATTAAAGGTTCTTCCAGATAATCCAATGGTTGACATTGCAGTGACTAGGCCTTGTTTTTAACAAGACGATTAAAAGCCTTTCTAGCTGGCAGAACCAGTTTTAACTTGAAACTTGTGGGAAGTCCAGAATTCGGGGCTTGAGTAAATCTGTGTGAATCTAATTTTATACTTGATTTCTTTCTCTTTTCCTTTTTCCCCTTCCTAGAAACCGTTTAATGTAATTGGATCCATTCCTTTTCCTACCACTTAAGTCAAATTTGGAGACAAAGTATACTGATCAATTTTTTATAAGAATATATATATATTTTTGTCCAAAAATGGCTTACATATGTGATTATGGCTAATTCAAAGGGACCTGGAATGTATATATACTTTTGCTACTATTCCAGCAACACAGCTCTAGTACCCAAATTTTTATTATAGACCTCTTCAAGTGATTTGCCGATAAATAAGTTTGGGGAGTGTTTTCTTGCTTTTCCTGCTGTAATACCCAAAGCAGAACTGGCAGAAACTTCATCTGAAGGTCCTATACAGTTTCCTGTCAAAGAATCTAGAGAAAACACATGTATGGTTGGGATTTGTTTCAGGATGTTTTTTTCTGCAGTCCTACTTCAGTCATGATTGGCGTACTCCCTAGGGCACTCAGGGGCCACTGTTTACATCACCGACAGTTGGGAAGCAACAATATATATTGTTACTTTCTTGTAACTTTATTCGGGGCGGGGAGAAGAATTGCATCTTTTAAGTTGGCAATGAATACCTTTAGACATTTTGTTAATCCAACAGCAGTGGAATTTCATTCTTATTCATCCAGTGACTTCATGTCTATTCTGTAAATATGGCCTTAGCAATTCTGGAATCCAATAGAGAGGAGTTAAGTAAATAAATATAAATATATATATATTATTAAAGGAAACCTGTAGCAATCAGATTTTATGAATTAATGAAAATAAAAGAAATGAAAGAACAAATTAAAGTCCCAACCCCTTCTTGAGCTATAATTCTGTATTTAGGTTCACACACAGATCATGATTTTTAGTCTGGAATGCAGAGGTTCAGTTTATGTTCACAAAGCCAGGGCTACGATTGAAAATAAGTACTATATTCTAGGTATGAAACTTTATTGCCTTCCCTTTTCTTATGTTGGATATTTTTTATTATTATTAAATTGATAAAACTTTATTTCCATTGTCTTCATAATGTTCTGTTATACATAACATTAAACTGTTCATTAAAAACAATGTTTGGGCTGCTGGTTCTTTCATTCCATTTGACGTTTGTGGAAGCGGTTGGGGGGGAAAATAATTATAATTTGGGCAAAGTAATTTTTATAAATAATTTAAAATTGTTTAATGACTTTTTATCTCCCGCCTTTCCTATCTGACTGTACTGTTAGGAATTAAAAATGAAGCAGCCAAGATATCTTGACCCACTCCAGCCTTGCTAATGCTCCATCTACAACATTTCTAATTAGGCAGAAATTCATGTACTTCAGCTAAGTGGTAATGAAAAGTGATTCATTTGCTGAATAAGAGATGAGAGTGAGTGTAATTAGCTGACTGCGGTTTTTAATCTTTCAACAATTCAGTGTGTTTAAATTAGTTTCAAAGAATAGGAGCTTTCAAGTGTTGTTACATCAAAGTAATCAAGACAAGCTTTACTGCCTGAGCGGGACGGATCGCCTTCTCTTCAGCTCCAGTTTTGAAACCCTTGAACTTTTTGTGGGAATTGTCTTTATAACTTTGGATTGCGACAGATGTTAAGAAGCATGCATATCACAAGAGGTAACAGCAGACTGGTTTTCGTGGTGGGAAAGATGCATTGTGGAAAGTGGCCAGAATCCTATTTGCAGTTGCATCATATCACTGCTCCACAGGCAGAGATCACCCCATTAAAAACAATACTCCCTTGTATAACTGTTGTAGAAGACAACTCTGTGCGCAAGAAGCCACTGCATAAAGGGAGGGAGTAGATTTTTTAAAAACAATTGTCTTGTTTTAAATCTCATTGTACTGTCGGGAAGCCAGCATACGTAAGGAACATCCAGGAAGGCTGTCTGAATGCAGCAAAAGGCCAAGCCATATATTTTTCAACTAGAATGCTTTGGAAGTAATTGGAACCAAGCAGTGGTGATATTGAACTTAGTTATTTCTTTGGGGAGAAAACATTGTGAAACCTCTCAAATTTGGTGCACGAAGTCCTCATATATTTTAATTGTGTCCTGTTGCTCTCCAGAGACGACTAGGTGGATAGCCACACATTCAAGGCCAGCAGCAAATATGAAAGTGATAACTTCCCAACACATCTTTTGAAATGAGGGCACCAAATACAAGCCCCACCCACCCCCAAAAATACCATATGTTTTCTTACGTCCAAGAAAGGACAGCAAAGAAGAGCTTCAAAACAGCCCTGTCTTACATAATCCTGGTGGTATTTGAATTTCCTTCATGGACGATGGCAATGAATGCATCCAGCCAAACGTGCAGATACAATTGTCAGAAATAATCCAGCTCCGACCCAATGCTCAGAAAAACAACAGCCATTTGGGGCTCAGCAGAATAATAATGCCGTTACAAATTCCTTGGCTGGAACCTCTCTTGCACATTTCTTAATTACAAAACTCATGTTCCTTACAAGATTTCAACTACAAATCCCATCTCATCACACTCGGAGCCGTCCTTTGCAGCAACAGGAACTGTTCTCAAGGAAGTCCTACCTTCCCCCACCCCAATGTCCTGTTTGTCTCACATTTTGATGCCCCAAACCCTATCAAATGAATTCTTTACCAAGGAGGCAGAGGAGTGCTCTTTACTACAGTGCTGTCTACATTCCAGACTGAAAGTGTCATCTGAAAATCCAGAGGATTGAGTCGTTTGCATCAAAAGCAGTGTGCTTGGCTCTTTGTAGGATGCAGCCCTTCACAATCCCATTTTTATTCCAAGCTTTCTAGCACAAGCAGCCTAGCAAAGGAGTGGATAGCACAGGTGCCGGCTTCCTGGATAACAGGAGCCCTCCATGTGTTCTACAAAACAGAAACTGCATCTGAAACCACTCAACAAGAGTATTTATGGCAGCATCTGTTTCATCTCGATCTGTCAGCAACGAGGAGCCTGACATGTCTTGGGCAGAAGAGGGGACAGGAGGGATTTATCAATGAAGTCTTGCATAATGTAAGCAGGCATGCTGCACTCAAGGTGATGACAATAACAGTAACAAATGCTTAAAGACCATTTATTTTCTCCTAGGTCTTCAGAGTCCCAGAGAGGTGTACTATTTCTGTTGCCTTTAAACTGAGCTATAAGCATAGCTTATTACAATCATATACTAACAGAATATCGTTTATCCAGAACACTGGCAGACTCCCAAGTTTTGTTGAAGCACTGTCCCCACCAAATATATATATCTTCATGACCCCATGGACCAGAGCATGCCAGGCCCTCCTGTCTTCCACTGCGTCCTGGAGTTGGGTCAAATTCATGTTGGTAGCTTCAGTGGCACTGTCCAACCATCTCGTCCTCTGTCGTTCCCTTCTCCTCTTGCCCCAAGCCCTTTTTCCCAACATCAGGGTCGTTTCCAGGGAGTCTTCTCATGAGATGGCCAAAGCATTGGAGCCTCAGCTTCAGGATCTGTCCCTCCAGTGAGCACTCAGGGTTGATTTCCTTCAGAATGGATAGGTTTGTTCTTTGGCGGTCAGCTTTCTTTATGGTCCACCTCTCCCTTCCATACATCGCTACTGGAAAAACCGTAGCTTTGACGATGCGGACCTTTGTCAGCTGATGTCTCTGCTTTTTAAGATGCTATCGAGGTTTGTCATCGCTTTCCTCCCAAGAAACAGGTGTCTTTTAATTTCATGGCTGCTGTCACCATCTGCAGTGATCATGGAGCCCAAGAAGGTAAAATCTGTCATTGCCTCCAGATTTTCTCCTTCTGTTTGCCAGGAGGTGATGGGACCAGTGGCCATGATCTTAGTTTTTTTGATGTTGAGCTTTAGACCATTTTCTGCACTCTCCTCTTTCATCCTCATTAAGAGGTTCTTTAATTCCTCCTCACATCAGAGTGGTATCATCTGCATATTGGAAGTTGTTGATATTTCTTCCAGCAATCTTAATTATGGCTTGGGATTCATCCAGTGCAGCCTTTCACATGATGTAGACTGCATGTAGGTTAAATAAGCAGGGAGACAATATACAGCCTTGTCGTACTCCTTTCCCAATTGTGAACCAATCAGTTGTTCCATATCCAGTTCTAACTGTTGCTTCCTGTCCCATGTATACATTTCTCAGGAGATACTTGTAGATAAGGTGGTCAGGGACTCCCATGTCTTTAAGAACTTGCCATAGTGTGCCAGTCAAAGGCTTTTGTGTAGTCAATGAAGCAGAAGTAGATGTTTTTCTGGAACTCTCTGGCTTTCTCCATAATCCAGCGCATGTTAGCAATTTGGTCTCGAGTTCCTCTGCCCCTTCAAAATCCAGCTTGTACTTCTGGGAGTTCTC